GGCACTAATTCAGCTTTCTGAGACACACAGAAGACTTTATGTCTACTTTTAGTCGTCAAGCTAAACATTTCCCGGCTCTTTGAAGATAGCTCCTGTGGCAGGACTGCCAGACCTCTCACCATCCCCGCGGACTGCTCTGGAAGTTGTCTGATTTGTCAACATCTCTCTTTAAATGTGACAGCCAGAGATGGACACGATACTACAGATGTGGTTAATTAGAGCAGGGCACTATTAATTTTTGTGACATATGGGCACTATTCTATGACCAGAATCTAAATTTTATTTTTATTTTTATTTTATTTATTTTATTTATTTATTTTTTTTTTTTTGCAGCCACATCATGCTGCTGGTTCATATTAACCTTTTTTTCCCCCCTCAAAAAATCACCACCATGTAAAGCCACCTCCTTCCTCACACTTCAGTGAATTAGGATGCACTGACTAGTATAAAATATCTTTTTGCATAGCATGGCAACCTATTTAATCCATGTTAACTCTAAGCTCTGTTATCAAACACTAACAGTGATCCCTTTTTAAAGCAAGTGCCCTAGGTCTTCATCAAAGTTATTCATAAAAATTTTGAAGAAGAGAAGAACCGGTGCCGAAGCATGTGGGGTTCTTTGCGGACTGGGGACCACTGCTGGACCCGCGCTCAGTCACCCACACACCTGGCAGGTGCCGGTTCAGCCGGAGTCACGCTTCCAAAGCAATTGTCACACACAAGAGCATCCTAAATCCCTGACAAATGCTTTGTGGAATGCAAAATTCACTTATCTTTCAAAACAAAGTGTAAAAAATCTGCACCTATTAAAACGATAGTCATGCAAAAAAATATATATGCACATGCATCCGACTAGAAAATCAGCAGCATCCATGCACATGTTCCAATAGCAGACTGCGGGGATTGTTTTTACTCCATCTTGTCTTTGCTACAGTGACATTGTCTTAAAAGTTGAAGACCCCGGGAATTTTGCTTCCAGAACCTTTTGCTTAGAGGCAGTTCATGTGAAACAGCTTCAAGAGCATCTGATCCTAACAGTCTGAAAACCCCAAGCTGAAAAAATAGTCCTTTCAAAAGACTTGTTGATCCTTAGAAACACCAATTTCTCCTTTTTTTATGTTTAATTTTGCATTGCTACTTTTGGTTTAATATTTCTGGAAACCAGGAAGATAGCAGACTGAATCCTGAAGTTTAGAAAAAGACTGGATTTTTTTTTTTTTTCCGTCTATGTGTCCGAGATGTCTCTTTGTCTTTGCTCATTGGAAAGAATGGAAATAAACACAAAATCACCATGTTACTATTTCTGTGAAGCCCCTGACTGAAACAGAGCTCCAGCCAAAAATCTCTCACAGACGAGTACACCCATAGCATCTATTCACCGAGAGCCCCTTTCAAAACACTAAGAGTAGAATCAGCAATAGAATTTGCACTGCTATTTAGAACGGAGGTAAGGATGAGTTTTAAGAAAAGGGGACTGATGGAGTAAGCGTGGTCAATTAGTTAAAAAGAAAAAGGAACATGGTAACTAGTTATACTGGAGAAAACGTGATCTGTAAATATGGCACATATTAGAATCCCACCCAATTTGAATATTTGATTGGGAAATGTTAACATGCCAGGTTTTCTTCACTGTTGCCGCATTTTGGTTTGAACGTGGTTTTCATCCATGGGAAGCCGGTGTTAGAGAAACTGGATACCTATTATCTTTATCTCTTTGAGGTTGTCTCTCACCAGTACTTTTTCATTACAGTAAGTGAAAATTCCATTTTGCTTAGAAATACAATTTGTCAACAGTACTAGATTAAAGCTAAATATATTAGGTAAATCAACAGCTTTTAAATTTATAGCAAACTCTTACAAGAAATGGATAAAATGATCAAATACCAAGTCCAGTTATTATCTGACCACTGAAAATTTTACTTTGCTTAGAAATAAATTTTCCATACTAAAGCTTCAGCCATTTAAAATAGATAAAATGACCAACTAGAAAGTCCACTTTTAATTTGACAAATGAAAATTCCACATTGTTTTTGAAATACAATTTTCCCACCATTGGAGAAATTCAGCTAATTTCATGAAGTAAATCAACAGCTTCACAAATAAGTGGCAAATGGTCATTAAATAGGAAAGATGCCCAAATAGAAGTCTAGTTATTATATGACAAGTGAATATTACACTTTGTTTTGAAATACAATTTCCCCACTAAACTAGCAGTTAAATGTTGGTGGTAAGTCAACAGCTTCCTAGATTCAGAGAAAATTTTCATTAAGATGGATTAAAATGTCCAAATACAATGCCCAGTTCTCATTTGGTAAAATAGATAATGCACATTAGCAATGAAATGTAGTCTGGCATTACATTTTGCTTTACATGTAATCTTGTGCAAAATAGGTAAGAAATAGTCAACACCAGGAACAAATACCTGAAAAAATCTAAAATTCACTTAGGATTCTAAATGTCAAAAAGGTATTAAAGTCTTTGTTAATATTGGGGGGTAGTTTTCAATGTTGTTTTGTTGCTTTAGGTAATGCAAAAATGTTATCTAAAGTATTGTCTATTAACCCTGTATTTTGTTTTTATTTTTAACATTTTATTGTTTTAGATAAGAAAGGTTAATCAGAACTAGTTATCTACTGATTTCTTCTCTAGAAAAACTGTATTTCTAAGGCAAAGTAAAAATTATTTCATATGTAGAATAAATAACATAAGAAAATACAGCAAAATGGTCACTATGTGTATGTTAGAATAGTGAAATCAGAGAAAATTCTCACTTCTCTAGGTATAGATCTTTATGTACTGCATGGTCATTTAAAATTCTACTTAGAAAAAATAATCAACATTTCATTTTTTAAAAGTCTGAAAATGTCATGTTATTTGACAATTAAGTATCCTGGGGGGAAAAATGGAGAAAATTCATTTGATCCCTTTTTTGATTTTAGAAATTATATACATACAACTCTCACAAAAATAGGTATTAGTTAGAATAAGTCTGAAAAAGCAAATTCCTTAATGCTTCCCGGGGTAATCTTAGAATGAAGAGGTTACAGGTGATTTTGATTGTCTTCATTTTTTTTTCAATTTTCTGGAATATTTTTCCCTTACTTTTTGTACAATGAATAGAAATTAATTTTTTTGTGCAATGAATAGAAATTATGGTAAAACTAATACTAAACCTTTTTTTAAAACAACAACAAAAATCCCGGTTAACAATTTGAAATGAAAAAAAATATCAATTGATTCAAACTTGTTGAAACTTTAAAAATCTTGGGGAAATGTATAAACTTGAATTTCCCCTGCCATCTACACTGATTTTTCACCTGACCTTATGGAAAAGACTATCGGTTAACAATTAGATGAAGTAAATTTTCTGGATTAAAAAAAAGCTAAATATTTGACAGTCCCGCACAACGGTACTCCAGCAAACAAAAGCAATCCTGATATTGTTCCATCTTGCAGGAAAAACGTGCGCATCCTAAAGATGAAAAGGCGCTTCTAAAAAGAAAACTGTGATTCCCCCCAAGTTCCTAGATAAATATCTCCCATTGTTGGAAATCTGCACTTCATTCATTCATCTACCTAATGGTCAATATTCTATTTCTCCGCAAAGATGCTACAATTTTATTTCTAAGAAGCCTCGCTTTACACAGGAGCCTGCCACCCAGCCGGCTACGGATAACGGGTCAGATTCTTCTTTATCCTCTCTCCGTACAAAACCATCTGTGGCAATGTTACTACACTACGCTGGATTTTAGCCTTCAAATACAAATGTCTGTTTAAGGAAACTTGTTCAGCTGCAGACACTTTGTTTTCCCATTTCAACTTAAACTTGTTTTGCTCCGATTATCAACAGATTGTCCGTTTTCTCTCTGGGCGCCTCACACTTTGGGGGGCTTACATGGAAACCCGCGCGAAGGCTTTTCTTTGGGGGGGGAAAAGCCTCCTTCCCCAACCTTTCATGAGTCTTGGAGGCCACTGCCATGTCCTCTGCTGTAAAAACATACATGTTTGTATGTGGGGACGAAATCTCGGCATCCATCGCAGCCGAAAGGCTTGACACGAGGTGGCTGTGACTAACATGTGGCCATGCTCCCTACCAGATTTACAGAAATGTGCCGTGGCGGGGAGGCTAAATCTCTGCGAAAACCTCGTAATCGCCACAAAAGGGCCGTGGCTGCGAGCCCCTGAGCCCGCCAAGCCCGGCGGAGGCATCCGCAGCTGTTTCTGATTGTCTCTGCTTCCTTGAAATAGAGCACTTGGTGGGGCAAATAGTGCGTTTTCGGCGTCTCTATCCCCCAGCCGGGGCCAACCCTGACCCCGAGGCCAGCTTGGACCCCGGATCTCATGATCCTGCTCCCCTGCTCAGTGAGAACTAAGAGAGAAACCGGGGATCCGCCGCCCAGAAATGCGCTCAGGAAGAAGGGTAAATCAGTTGTTTCAAATGGACATTTTTGTTTTTCTGTTCTCTCCCCATCAGATTCAAGAAAAGGGGGGAAAAAATGTGTTTTTGTAGAGAGGGGTGAAGCCTGACACCCCTTTCTTATGGCTCGCCTTTGTCCCGCCAAGACCCATCCGTGGGGTAACAACGAGCCCCCCATAAGAATGGGCAAGGACCCCCAGCCCTTTGTTGCCCCCCCCCCCACCTCCAACCCTTTGTTTCAGGGATCAGAGAGGTCCACCACCAGGGTTGGAGATGGGGGGGAGGGGGGAGAAACAGGTTTGGGAATGGAATTTGGAGATAAAATTTCTGCGCTTTCTGGGCAGGGAGGAGCCCAGGGGGGGGGGGGGGGGGGCAAGAAAAAGAAAAGGCCAAGGGTCAAGCCTGGGGAGCGACGCACAAGGCCCAAAAGTGGGGCGGGGGGCGTCCTGAAAGAGGGGTGCAGTGGGGACCCAAGGCAACAAAGAGGGGGCGACGCCCAGAGCACCCAAAGCCTCGGTGGGGGGATGGGAGGGCGGCGGCCAGCTGGCCTTGGCACCTCCCGTGGCGCGCGCGGGTCACTAACCTGTCAGCAAGAAGGTGCCCGTGGTCCAGGGGCTCATCCTGCGCGTCCCCCGAACCTGTCCTGCCCACGCACGAGGGTCTCCCGACTCCCACCGCGGGGGAAACTGCATGCTTGGCCTGCCTAGGCCCCGCCGTCCTCGATCTCCCCTCCCCTCCCTTTCTTCTTTCTTCCCAGCTTGGCCAGTTGAGCATCAGCGGCACCCCGCACCCCCTCCCGTGATCTCGTCCGCCCTCTAGCGGCGGGCCCGCGAAGCGAGCCGGCGCCCCCGCCCCCACCCCCCGCCCCCGCACCCCGTCCGCCCCCCCGAGCTCGCGGGGCACGCTGGGATGTGGCGCCCCCTCCTCTGCTCAGCCTATATAAGGCTGCCAGTCGGCGCTCCGGGTACACGCGCTTCAACTTCGGTTGGTGTGTGTCGAAGAAACCCGACTGCGACCTGGGAAGGAGAACATCGGAGAGCATCGGAGAGGGTCCACCGAGCCCCGCGGAAGGTCCGCTGAGCGGGCTTCGCAACCGGAGCCTCTCCGGGCTGCGGGGCAGCCAGCGGATCCCGCGCCCGGCACAGGTGTGGGACCCCGTCCTTCCCGCCCTCGCAGAGGAGTCCTCGCGTGGTGAGTATGCGGTGAGAACGTTTTTTGTTCTTTTTTTCCTTTTTTTTTTTCTTCCAGATCGCATCCCGTCTCCCCGTTCTTATCGGGGAGATGGAGATCTCCCCGTTCTTATCGGGGAGATGGAGAGTAGCGCCTCGGGATATCTCCACGAAAAACCTTGTCACGCCTTCACTGGCTTGAACCCCCCCAAAAAAAAAAACACGGAGTGGAGAAACGAAGCCTTCACGGCTTTGATTTTCTTAGAACCTAAATCCAGATGTGGGCTGTAGACGGACATGAGCTGCGGACGGACATGAGCTGCAGACGGACATGAGCTACAGTCCAATTTGGAATTTGCTCTGCAAATTGCGCTACTCAAGTGATACGCGCTGCAAACTAATTGGCGCTTCACGCGCCGCAGGATGATAAGCGCTTCAATTGCGCGAAAGGCTGATAAGCGCTTCATTGGCGCTACCAGCCAGGAGGCATTGCAGCGATGTAGGAGCTGCAGATTGACCTGCGCTTTAGATGCGCTGCAAAATCTGAGCTGCGAACGATGAGCGCTACGGGGAAAGAAAAAAAAGAAAATGATCGCACTATAGTGGTGCTTCGTGGAGCTACAAGCTACCACACACGGGAACTGCAGAGGTACATGAGCTGCAGAACAATTTATGCCCTCGAACGCGCTGCAAAGTAAGAACAGCTGCAGAGATATGCAAGCTGCATTGGCGCTATAAAGAAACCAGCTGTAGAGGGATGTAAGCCGCGGAGTAAAATTACTCCGGCTTCTTAGAGGGGGGGGACCCCACCCTTTGTCTCTAGCGTACCTTTTGGAATGGTTCCCACTACGTTTTTCTGCAGGTCGGGTCTCTGCGTGCTGGTGGTGGTGGTGGTGGTAGACAAAATGGAGCCCCGGGCAAAAAATTAGCGTTTAACGTTCTGCCCACACCATTCCTGCTCTATAGCAGTGGAGTGGAGTGGAGGGGCCCCGACTTGAGCGGAAAGGGGGATATTTTGGCGGTGGCGGCAGAGCGGGCTGCCTTGCCTAGTTGTGCTAGATGGAAGCGGCGGTCTAGGTGCGGTGATGGCGCGAATCCGCGGCCAGCAACAGTTTGTGGAAACTGTTGGTTTGCTTAGTCTCGGGGAGGGGTCGGATCCGGAGGGGATTGCTCTTGTTGCATGAAATGAATCTGGCTGTGGGAGACTTGGTCGGGAGGGGGGGTCCTGGGAGAGGCTTGCAGCCAGGCTCAGACCTGCCCCGCCCATTCTAGCGCGACTTCTCCGCAGTATCGGCTCAGAGCCGCTTAGCGCCACCTAGCGCCTACTGCGAGCGCGCCTCCCCGAGCGCGCCTCCCCGCAGCGCGCCTCCGCGAGCGCGCCTCCCGGAGCGCGCCTCGCGCCTCCCCGAAGCGCGCCTCCCCCGAGCGCGCCTCGCGCCTCCTCCGCCGCGCGCCTCCCCTTAGCGCGCCTGCTAGACCCTCCTCCCCCGACACGTCACTCTGAGCCCGCCTCCGCCTCCTCTGACGCGCTCACAAGACCCCCGCCTCTCAGAGCACCCTCCTTGGAGGTGGCTCCCCCAAACCCCGCCCCTCCAAGCCCGCCTCCTCTGAGGTGGTGGCGCCCCCCCAGGCCCTGCCTATCCAAAGCCCGGCCGCTCCCTGAGCCCGCCTCCTCTGACGCGGCTCACAAGACCCCCGCCTCTCAGAGCCCCCTCCTTGGAGGTGGCTCCCCCAAACCCCGCCCCTCCAAGCCCGCCTCCTCTGAGGTGGTGGCGCCCCCCAGGCCCTGCCTATCCAAAGCCCGGCCCCTCCCGGGCCCGCCTCCTATGAGCTGGCCTAGGGCCCCGCCTCCCCGGAGCCGCCTGCGCCTGCGCAGTGTGAGCTACCACCCACCCGCCCCCTCCGCCAAGCAGGCCCACCACTGCGCATGCGCGCCTTCACTACCTGAGCCTGGCTGCACAGCCCCGCCCTCCTGCGGTTTCTCTTCTGCGCCGTTTTTTGCTTTTTATCCACAGGTGTCTAATAAATATAAGAATAATCAAGAATAAAAATAATAAAGAACAGTTAATAATAATACCTGGAATTCATAAGCACTTTTTATAAGTGCTTTGCATATTAAGTAACATAAATCCCACAATTTAAATTCTCGATAGTGGGCTTCAAAGGATGCTTTTATGCTGACATGGCTGGCATGGCGCCTCTAAAGGCAATCCAGCTAAATGTTTTTATTACAAATGAAAAACAAAATATTTTAAATACTTCAACATTTAAGGTTGTTGGTTTTGTTTTTTGGTTTTCGTTTTGCGACATTATTGTGTTTTTGTGGCGGTACCTGCTGGAATCCCATGCCTTGGTGGATACAAAATAAACAACTTGTGGCTTATTGGTGCCTGGCCTCTGAGCGAGGATGGGGTGTTTAATTGCGTGCTTATGAAGCTGGATTTTTTTTCTCTTGGAACTCTAGGTTATTAGCTCTGGCTGACTTGTCTACATATTTATTAATTGTGCCTGGCATATGGTAGGCACTCATTAAGTATGTGTAAATTGACCAAAGTAAATTATTTTATTTGGTGTTTGCCTTGGTGTCTGCAGGGTTTTTTATTTTATTTTATTTGGTGCCTTGCGCCTGGCTCTTTCCTGTGATGGATTGCTTGCCTTATCTCTCTCACATTTAATAGGAATTTAAAGTATGCATCTTAAAACTCCAATGTAAGCTGTAATTATAACACAACACAACTAAATTAATTCAAAATACTCAAAATAATTAGCTATTTTTAAAGTCAAAAGCTAATTATTTAAATTCGGGGCAAATGGATTATTTAATGGTACATAATTGTCATTTAAAATTTTAAATTTGTGTAATGTAACAAAGTGGTTACATTACAAAATGTAGATTGAGGGTTTTAACTGGCATTATTAAACACCTTTAAAATAAATCCATACTTTATGGCCAGTCATATGTACCATGTTTATCTTTCTAATTAAATAAATTTAAAAACCTGGTTCTATATTATTATAAACCATGAGCCAGGACTTTGTTATGGGAGGAATTTGGGGGCTTTGGCTCACCCCCATCTGTCACATCCCACCCCGCCCCCAACAAGTATACAAACATGTAATTATCATAATTACAGCTTTCAGCGAGTCCCCTGGCCCCTGTGACCCCCCTTGGCACCCTAACCCCCCACCCCTCCCTTGGAAACTTGGTGTCTTCATTTTAAAGAGGTTCAAACCTGTGGTGAAAACATGTGCATATGAATGAGCTTGCATTTCACAAAAGTACACATAGTACTTTAAAAAAAAAATTGGACATTTGAAAACGTAAAACAATAAAGACTTGCTTAATGAAGTGTCATTTCCTAACAGAATGTTTAATGTACAGCGATCTTTGGTGTGTTCGGGGTATAGACATTTTTAGAGGTCATCCTGAAGAGGCCAGGATTAAACAAATGTATGTATTTAATTTCTAAAAAGACTAACACAAAATTCTTTCATATGTAATGACGTCACCTGTCCCAGGTGGCTTGGCTTTATGCTTGTGTCCTTCCAGGTTCAGCAGTGGGGCCTCTTGACCCCTGTCTCCCCAATCTGGCCCCCCTCTTAAGGGGGCGTTTAAGGAGCTGTAATTTAAATCCAGTCACAATGCTCCTGTTCCCTTATTAATCTGTCCTCCAGTTGCTGTTAAAACATTTTAAAACTTTTCCTGACACTGAAAATTAACCTACCTGCCCACTACCCTATCACCTTTCTTAAGACTTGGAGTCCCACTCCAAAGTTAGAGTTCCTGAGAGTGGGGGCTGAGGCCTGATATTAGTAAAGGTCAGGGGTCACAACTGGTGACCAAATAAAGCCCTGAATTTGTTTGACCAGCACTGGAGTTACATTTTTTTAAAAGATTTGAATGTATTTGGGAGGGGAGGCATGTATCCCCCAGTTACATAGATGCAGCCCCTCCCTCTTGTCCGAACTTCAGGCCTTTTCTCACTTTCCTGTTACCTTCCTGTCTACTAAAAACATACTAATTTTAAACCCTTATTGATCTTGTGTCCCTAAACAATTCGGTGATTATTGGCTAATTTCCTAATGCGTTGTTATTTCTGACCTATCATTGTGTTTTGCAGATGTTAAAACCATCAGACCTGGGCCTCAATAAAGCCAACTCACTCCAGTGACTGGGATTGATTGACATGTAGGTTAACCTTTCTGACCTGGTCAATCTGCGCCAGGCCTCTTCAGAATCTGTATTTTCAAACTCCTAAGATCTAGATGACAGAAATGGCACCTGAGTCACCTGACCTGTGCTTATTGGGGGTTTTTTTTTTTGGGGGGGGGGACAACAAAACTCTAATTTCTTAAATTTAATAAATAAAAATAATTACATTATTTGAGTGTCACCAATACAATTGTCTTTAAGGCATTGGAAATGAAATTAAATATCAAACTAAGGTGTATTAATTGCACCTTCTACTTTTTAAAAACAAGTATTTTATCTTGAAGGTCATTGATTGATTATTTTATAGCCTAAGTTATTAAAATAATTAAATATAAAGTTAAAACTATTAAAATGGCACATAGTAAACATGTCCTTTAAGGACTCTGCTTGCTGTATAGCCACTCCTTGGAGAGGACACACCAACAGCAAAGGGCAAAGGGCATATAGGATGTCAGTTTTCCAAATTTGACAACATGATGCTCATTAAAAAAAATTAAAATAATTTACTCTACATACATTTACCCCTGAACTCAGGAGGAATATGGGCACTATGTGATTGTCACCATATACATAATTAGGACCTTTAGTCTTTTCTCTCCCATATCCCCACCCCCACACCATTCAACCCAAGGAATTCAGCCCTATCCCACTAGAACCTAAAAACTTTCAAGTGGGGCTCCATTAATAACTCCTTTTTAAAAAGCAGGCATTGCAAACTGGTGACCTGCAAGTCAAATGAGGCCCTGGATTTGTTTGACCAACTCAATATTAAAAATAAATAAATAAAATAGTATCTTTAGGTGGGAAATGCAATGCCCAGATCGTCATAGTTGCAGCCCCTCCCTGTTTTAATCCCAACCTCTTTACACAGGAGGTTCTGTTTTCTTATTAGTTACCTGATTAATATCACATAACAGTTATTAAAAACTCACTATGTGCTTTTCCTGAACTATTTAATTCAACCCTTATTCTAAGTTTGAGGTGTACTATCATTGGGCTCTATGTATATAGCCCAGCTCCTCCTAGGAGGTAGCAACTGATATTTGTTAATTGCATACATAATGAGGAGGAAAATTGATATACACGTATTGCTGCTCAGTGCCATTTCTGTCCCATAGGAATTTCTTTTTGGGAAATCAAATTATGGTCAGAAAACTAGTCTAGACAATCCTATGTGTTTTCTGGCAGATTTTTTATTTATTTGCTATATTACCTGTAACTTCTTTAATAACTGTTTTAAAAAGTTATCATTTTGGCTTTCTCTTGTGTAATTTGGTAGCCATCTTACCTTGGACGTTTCTTGCTTGAATCTCTGGATTCAAAACAAGTTTGGAGTGTCTTGGCATTCTTTTATAGTCATAGTTAAGCAGTGTACTGTTGATACAGTTATGTATTATTGAATCATAATGAATAGGTGATTTTTGAGGAGAAAAACATCATTTGAACATTAAAAAGAAGTGTTTTCTTCCCATTACCTATTGTTTCTTTGTATGGGGTTTTGTTTATTAACTATTAATGTAAGCAAGAGATACTTTAAATACTCATGTATTTAAAGTACCTTATACTTTAAATACTCATGTATTTAAAGTATTCTTTAAGCTTTAAATACTCATGTATTTAAAGCACTTTACATGCTAAGTTTTTATTGTGCTGCTTTGACTGTACATGTTGAGTTATGCTTTCATCCTCATTTACAGAAACAAAAAGCATTTGAAAGCAAAAAGAAGAAAGGGTGGAAGAGGAGGCCAGGACCCAGGCCCTCATCCCCACAGAAGCGAAGCCACAGCTGGGAGGTCTCCTCCCACCCCAACTGCCACCCTGGGGCCCGCCGACTGCCCCCCGCCTCCCCCTCCTCCCCCCCCCAACGACCCCTCCTCCAACAACAACAACAACTGCCAGAAGGATCAGGGCAACCCCAACAGCCAGGAGCACCGCCAGCGTGAGAACCTCTCCCAAGAGATCAACGACCTCCGCGAGAAGGTCATGAGGCAGTCCGAGGAGAACAACAAGCTGCAGGACCAGGTGCAGAGGCTCACGCAGGAGAACTCGAACCTCCGCGAGCAAGTGGGGCCCAACCCCCCGGAGGAGGAAGAGGAGGAAGAGGAAGAGGAGGAAGAGGAAGACGATGAGCTGGAGCTGTGCGGCGCGGCGGCGGCTGCTGTCCCCCTGCCTCCCGAGGTGGACGAGGGCTCCGAAGACCTGCCCGAGAAGTTCGACGGCAACCCCGACATGCTGGTGCCTTTCATGGCGCAGTGCCAGATCTTCATGGAGAAGAGCAACCGGGACTTCTCCGTGGACCGCGTGCGCGTCTGCTTCGTGACCAGCATGATGACCGGCCGCGCGGCCCGCTGGGCCTCCGCCAAGCTCGAGCGGGCCCACTACCTGATGCACAACTACCGCGCCTTCATGTCCGAGATGAAGCACGTGTTCGAGGACCCGCAGAGGCGCGAGGCCGCCAAGCGCCAGATCCGGCGCCTGCGCCAGGGCACGGGCTCCGTGGTGGACTATTCCAACGCGTTCCAGATGATCGCCCAGGACCTGGACTGGAACGAGCCCGCGCTCATCGACCAGTACCACGAGGGCCTCAGCGAGCACATCCAGGCGGAGCTCGCGCACCTCGAGGTGGCCCGCTCGCTGCCCGCGCTCATCAGCCAGTGCATCCTCATCGAGAGGAGGCTGGCCCGGGCGGCCGCCGCGGCCCGCAAGCCGCCCACCTCCACCACCACCACCACCACCACCACCACCCGCGTGCTGGTGCTGGCCCGCACCACCCACCACCAGGTGGGCACCACCACCCAGCAGCAGCAGCAGCAGCAGCAGCAGCAGCAGGTGGACCCCACCGAGCCCGTGGGCGGCGCACGCATGCGCCTGACCCCGGAAGAGAAAGAGAGACGCCGGAAGCTCAACCTGTGCCTCTACTGTGGGAACGGAGGCCACTACGCCGACAACTGTCCTGCCAAGGCTGCCAAGGCTGCTGCTGCTGCCGCTGCCGCTGCTGCTGCCGCCGCCGCTGCTGCTGCCGCCGCCGCTGCTGCTTCGCCGGCGGGAAACTCCCCGGCCCCGCTGTAGAGGGACCTTCAGCGACCGGGCCGGAATTAATAAGGTCCCCACCGGATGATGCTTCATCTCACCTGCAAGTGATGCTCCAGATCCACATCCCGGGCAGACACACCCTGATTGTCCGGGCCATGATTGACTCTGGTGCCTCCGGCAACTTCATCGACTACGAGTACGTCGCCCGCCACGCCATTCCTCTGAGGATCAAGGACTGGCCGATACTGGTGGAAGCCATCGACGGGCGCCCCATAGCATCGGGCCCCGTCGTCCACGAGACGCACGAGCTGATCGTCGACCTGGGAAACCACCGGGAGGTGCTGTCCTTGGATGTGACTCAGTCCCCGTTCTTCCCCATCGTCCTGGGGGTGCGCTGGCTGAGCACCCACGACCCCAACATCACCTGGAGCACCCGATCCATCATCTTCGACTCCGACTACTGCCGATTCCACTGCCGCGTGTACACCCCCATCCCCGCCTTCCTCCCCCCTGCGCTGCCTCCCTTCTTCTTCGCCATCGAGGCTTTCCGAGTGTACCAGCCCGTGAGGTACTACTACGTGCAGAACGTGTACACCCCCGTCGACGAGAACGTCTACCCCGACAACCGCCTCGTGGACCCCAACATCGAGATGATCCCCGGAGCCCACAGCATCCCCAGCGGCCACATCTACTCGCTCACCGAGCCCGAGATGGCAGCTCTGCGGGAGTTCATCGCCAGGCACGTGAAGGATGGTCTGATCACCCCAACCATCGCGCCCAACGGTGCCCAGGTCCTTCAGGTGAAGAGGGGGTGGAAGCTGCAGGTTTCCTACCGCTGCCGCGCTCCCAACAGTGTCACCATCCAGAATCAGTACCCTCAGCTCTCTGTTCCAAATTGGGATGACCAGGCCCACCTGGCCACCTACGCTGAGTACGTCCCTCAGATTCCTGGATACCCCACCTACCCGGCCTACCCGGCCTACCCCGTCGGCTTCGCCTGGTACCCAGTAGGAAGAGATGGACATGGACGCCCGCTCTATGTCCCCGTGATGATCACCTGGAATCCCCACTGGTACCGCCAGCCTCCGGTACCCCAGTATCCTCCGCCGCAGCCGCCGCCGCCTCCGCCGCCGCCGCCGCCGCCGCCCTCCTTCAGCCTGTGAATTCTTTTCACGTCCTTAAGGATCTCTGCCCTCAGCGTGTGTCATGGGCAGCTTCTCCATCAGTGACTGTGTGCCAACCTGGGCCCCTGTATCTTCAGGCCAAACCTGTCACCTCTGAAGAGCCACAGAAGGTCAGGGCCACCCTGGACTTGGCGCCCGTCCTGAAATCACCAAAAAGACCTCTTGGGAGCAACAGACTATTTGACCAACAAATTAACTTTCTTAACTGCCAATTCTAACCTAAATTCGCAAGTTGACTTCCCAGGTAATCTTGGAAATATTTACAGAGAAGCTGATGCCAACACACGAAATGCTGTTTTCTCTAAAGAGGGGGAGACATGGAGGAGGAGGATAAAACTTTATTACAGTTTTGGTTCTCTTTAAAGAGAACCGCCGCCTTATTAAGGAAGCCACAATTGACTGGTGCAGTGTGAAACGGCTTCCGTGATCTTTCCGCTGCACCCCTAAAAGCTTCACCTTTGAACTTCTCTTTCGTGATTTTGTTACTTCTCAAGGAGCAGCAACGTGACCAGTTCTCCCGGGAGCAGGCACAGCACCTCGGGCTCCAGAAGGAAGTGCCCTTTTGGATGGACTCTTGCATGTTGAGTGTGCCTTCACATGTGTGCCCACACTCATTCCTGGGAAGGATGTCTTTGAGGAAGAGGAATTGGGGCACAGGACACTGTCTTGAGGGCATGGGCTTCTGTCCTGAGCTCCACATCCGGTTGCCAATGAATGAAAGGCCCCAGAAGACAAGTCTCAAAGCAACAGACAGCTCAGAGGTTGTGTTCAGCCCAGTGACATCATCTGGTGTCTCCCGGGGACTGCCTTGACTTCCTTTAGCCTGGTCCCTTGCTACTACCTTGACCTGTTTGTCTAACCTGTCTTTCTTTTAATTCTTTACTACTGCCATTACCCTGCTGCAGGATTTGCGTCATCCTTCCTGCCTGGTTGCCGAGGCTCCATTTTGCTGCCACGCGTGGAGAAGAAGGAAGCAGGACTCGAGGAACGTGTGTCAACACAGTTCCAATTGCCAAAATACCCCTTAAGCAGTAGAAAACAATGTGATATGTGTCTATGTATATATATGTGTATTTCTAATTGCCTATTAGAAAGAGGAGTTGAATGGTGAAGTTTCATTTTTTCATCAACCTCATCTTTTACTATTCATTATCATCCACCCTTATTCTTGCATGTTTAAATTCTTTAATGTTTTTTAACTGTAGATTAGTTAAGAACTTGAATTTTTTAACGACTCTAGAGTGGGACTGCTCATATTGTTAATTGTTGAACTGTAAAGTACTAGTCAATTTTTACTGTGTTTAGAGTTAAGCTAATTAAAACCGAGGAAGTAATGTAATGTAAAATACTGTGAACTTCTCTCAACAAACACTGTGAATTAGAGGCTCCTTGGAACTGGAGTTTTGTATAATAGTTCATCTTGTTCATCTTCAACTTTTATTTTAACATCGTGTGTAATTTTAGTTTTATCAATTAGGCCTCTAAAAACAATCACACGCTCACACAAATATGCAAATCCAAAGAAGATACCTAATTGGCTTTTTATTCCAAATCAGTTTTCATTTTCTTTTTCAGTGGAATCAGCCAACTTGTCCGTCACTCATGTGTTTTTAAAGTATGTCATTATTTTTTAAATGGTGCATTTGTGCTTCTGGACTATTTTGAAGCGTCACTTCACATTTTACCTCAGATATCAATATCAATCCATCCTCATTATCTTTGAATTCAAGTTGTGTTGTGTCAAATTTATAGTTGTCAATTGATCTTTAAGCTGCAGGGGGCCTAGAAATGGCTCATTTGTCTGCAGCCCCAACATGTGCACACGGACATTTGCCATAACTGCAAGCAGAAGTCTGGAGACTTTGGCCAGTGACGACAGTGGTCGTCACGGAGAGCACGGATGAAGCCGCTGACACACATCTGGCTGTTTAGTGAAGCTTGTGAAAGACTTTTGGCAGTGTGCACTATGTTGTTTTGCTATATATGCTATCTGTGAATGTAGATGTTAAAGATATGTGATCTCAAATTTGTTGTTCTGTAGCAGCAGAATTTTAATAAGTTTCCTTTCAGTCGATTGATTTAATTTGTTGCTGTTGCTGTTGCTGTTGCTGTTGATCAACTTATGTTAATTGGATACTTTAAATTTTGGGGGCATTTTCCAACAGAGATGCCTTTATTCTTAAGAAAGAAAAGACCAAAGTAATTAAATTTCTAAATAAACTAGGGAGCAGAATAAAAACATAAAGGAGATAAATAAAGCTATATCAATTATCAAACAAAGCCAATAGTCAATCCTTTGAAACAAATTGGCAAAATTGATTGACTTTTGGCCCAAATTCAGAGAGTTAATTAAGAAAATCAAGGAAGAAGTTATAGCTCCCATTTTCAGTCAAACTTGGAAAACTAGCAAAGTTCATCATGCTAGAATATGTAAGAAGTTTACATTTTTAATAGTCAATTCAGTTTGAGCAATTAGGTACTTGTAATGGATGCTGGAAAATGAAGAATTAGTTTGATTAAATCATGTGAGGTAGCACTAACAGGTGCACAAAATAAGGGGCACATCTATAGAGTGCAGTCTGAATTTCTGTTTAAGTTGGCAGGTACCTCTTAGACTCCTGAATTGACCCAGTTGTCATCTACCACAGACATCTAACATCAGATTGAATTTCAAGACTGGCAACAAAGAACACTGCTGGGAAAGACCTGGGCGGGAATGAGAGACCACCTGCAGAGATGAAAGCCAGTGGGAACCACTACATTTTCATCTCAGGAAGGGCACATCTTGTGGGAGAGTTCTTTGTTGTTTCAGATTGTGGAACGCTATCGAATTAGTCTGTGGAAAATAGCGTTCTTTGTGTAATCACTTTAATGCATAGGGGATATATATAATCATTAGTAATTTTAGGGTGGGAGGGATTAATAAGTAATCTTAAGTGGGTGGGATTAGTTACACAGCATGATTATATCTTAGATATCACTATAAGTAGACATGTGCACTTGTGATCCTTTATCCTGTGATTGCTACCTTTAATAATTTCAAATAAATTCGGAGGGAACTGCAGGGAGATGAACCTGTTTAGGGTGACTTGAACATGGAAGAAAAAAAAAAACCCTAGTGGGATAAAGTTCAAAGGTGATCAAACAGATCATTTAATAGATGGCTCTTTGCCTTGAGTATTAACTCCAGAGATAAAGATTGTGAGCAAAGTCTTTAGTGAGTTATAGGGTGGATAGATACCCTTTGAGAAATTGTTGCTGAGATGACATTGATGTGATGTATGGTGAATATTCATGGAAGTTATGCAAAAATGATGAATAAGAAATGGAAGTGATGAGTAAGAAATGTTGCTCCCATCAGTCGCCCTCCTTTTTACCTCTTCCCCATATCCCTATCCCTATCCTACACCCCTACCCTCCCTCATTATTATTGCTGTATTCTCTTTATTTCTCTCAATTACTAATACTGATGTTATAATAAATTCAATCAATAAAGATTTAGTGGTTAAGTGCAAATTGTGTCCTGATCATTTCAGCGCCTACCACTATCAAGGGAACAGGGTTGAGAAATGGAAGGGTGAGGGAGTGGGCAGGATGGAGGGAATGGGGGTGGAGAGTGAGGTGAGGGAGTGGATGGGGTGGAAAATTAGGTGGGGGAAAATGAACAAGGTGGCAGAGTGAAGGGATGAGGGAATAGATGACATGGGGAAGTTGGTGGGTGGAGAGTGTGAGGTGAGGGAGTGGATTGGGTGGGGGGAAATGAACAATGTTGGGGAGTGGAGGGGTTAGAGAGTGGACAGTATGGGGGTTTTGGGGTGGAGAATGTAAGGTGAGGTAAGGGAGTGGATTGGGTGAGGGGAAATGGACAGGATGGAGGAATGAACTGGGTGGGAGAGCAGACAGGGTAGGGAGTGGTGGAGGAAGAAAATGGAGGAAAGGAGGGTGGGGGATATGGGAAGAAGGGGGTGTAGAATTGAGGGTAAGTTTCCAAGTTGGGGAGGCTGGTGGGAAAGTGGGATAAAGAATACATTCATAAAAGAATATAAATAAATAATAAAAATACATTCATTAAGCAAGACACTATCAATTATCCACAATACTTCAGGAAATCAACTAAATTATTACAAAGCTGCAAAAGTATAAAATGAAGTCACAGTAGCAACTATTGACATAATATAAAGAATTAATGATGCAAAGCTTTAACACATAAAAAAGCCACACAATATTCTATTGATAATATATAAATTCATTTTTAATATTAACTTTACATGGAATACTTGAGATTTGTTAATTGCAAATTATAAAAACATAAGTGAGGACAAAAAGGAAGACATACCAAATGAAGTCATAGTGATGTGCAAGAAATTAACACAAATCTTTAACAATTAGTACAATATTAGAGTGACTATAAAAGTCATCTAAAGAAAAGTGACAAGTGATATTGTTGAAGTAATCATCCTATCAGATTTTCAATACATAATGACATTACTCAAAGTTGTAGAATAATAGGTTACATATAGAAACCTGAACTAATCATTTCAATGCATATAAGTTGAACCACCATTATGCTACACACCATAAATATTAGGTGGGAAAAATACAACAGATTGCCATCTCATCCCCATCCTTACCCCCATCAAAATAAACCTGAAAAGGAGACTCTTAATGAGGTATCAGTTTTGAAGAGTTGCTGGGTTCACATGACATGGTGGTCACATAAACACAGAGGTTTATTGAGAACAATACATGGAATACAGTGAGAAAGGGGGAAGATATGAGGTAATATAAAAACATAAGTAAAAACTCTCCTGGGAAGCAAGGTAACCTGAATAGTTGTCCATCTAGCCCAGAGGTCACAGACTTTCATGGAGTGCAATGCAGTGGATAGAAATGGAGAAATTGGGATAGAAATGGCACACAATCAAATGACTATCAAATGCCTAGCTGAGGTATTACTTGTTTAAACCACATATATAAAAGCCTAAGCAACCGTTACAACCAAATAACCAGAATTATTGGTCAACCAGTAACTATGACATGCACTGACCCCAGAGGGCAGGCACTCAATGCAGGAGCTGCCCCCCTGGTGGTCAGTGTACTCCCACAGCCAACCTCCCACAGCTAGCCAACTCCTGCAGCCCCTCCCCTGGCTGGCCAACCTCCTGTGGCCCCTTCTACTGGCCAGCCAACCTCCCAAAGCCCCACCACCCCACTGGCCACACTACTGTGGCCCCTCCCCCCACCAGCTGGCCAACCTCCTGCAGCCCCTCCTCCTTCGGCCAGCCAACCTTCCATGGCCCCTCCTCCCCACTGGCCACACTGCTGTGGCCCCTCCCCCCACCAGCTGGCCAACCTCCCATGACTCCTCCATCCCCCTAACCTTGATGGGCCTCAATGGAGAGGGGTCGAGGGAATTGGCCCCTCCCCCCAACTGGCCCTCCCATCAGCCCCTATTAGGGGGAGGAGGCCAGCTGGCCAAACTTCTGTGGTCCCTCCCCCTAGCCAGTTGGCCTTCCCCCTCCATAGGCCTTGATCCCTGGCCAGGCTGAGGGACCCCACCCATGCACAAATTCATACACCAGGCCTCTAGTGTGGTATAAAAACTAATAATCAAATAACTCTGAAAGGACATTGAAATGTCCCATTCATCCCTGTTTTTTCATACGTAGACTCCTCCACATCCTGACCCCTCCATCTCCCCATAAGTCATGATTAAACAAAACTTAGGTAAAACAATAAAAGTTGCTGAACCCCAAGATTGTATTACCTTTGATTATATAGCAGGATCACAAGTCTAGTCTAGAAAATTAAACTCACTGTACTCATCAATGGTAATATTTGTTAAAAGCCATGCCTGTTCTACGAAAAAATATTTAAAAAATGGCTTCCCAAAGTTATATCAACAAATCTATTTATAGCTGCAGAAATTGCTTAAAGAAACTCTCTAATGCAGTGTAGTCTATGCCAGTTATTAATCGAAAACAATTGTTTAAAATGAGGACCACACAATATAACGTAAAACACATAAATGTACATTTATTGGTCAATCTTGATAGAGACCTGTTTCACTTTATTGGAGCTCTGAGTTACCATTCTTGAATAAATTATATCAGTAACATTGGGAAAGTAAAGAACTCTAAAAAATATACAATGCAATTAAATATTAGTGTGGAGGAGAATTAGTTTTGATCTTTACCTCAAAAAATATACTAATGAATTCCAGATAAATCAATAACTACAGAAAGAAAGAAATGCTTATTGGTGAGGGTGGTAAATAAAATATTTAGGGACTAATAGTAGCAATCAAAATGTAGCTAAATGGTTTTGAATTCAATAAAGAACATGCACAGCAAGAATGAGGGAATATTTGGTTCATGCCTATAAGATATGTGATAACTAACTTATTACCCAAACACCAAATGCTTTCCTCAGAAAACATGAATACCCAACTCATACCCTTTACAATTTTTCTGGTTTCTTTGAATATTTGTAGAGAGAAATCTGGATGGATAAATAATAATTAAATAAATAGGTAGATGGATGGATAGATAAATTAATAAAGGTAAGTGTTCAATAATTGGTTTTTTTTTTTTTAATGTGCCAGAGATTAAGTAAATACTCAAATCCCTACCTTTACTCTTTTTCTAGCTTCTTTGAGTACATGTAGTGAAAAACCTGGATGAATAATTAATTAAATGAGTAAATAAATAGATGGATAGATGAATGGATCGGTAAATGAATAAGTGAATAAATGTGTTGAGTGTTCAATAATTATTGATTTCTTTTAATGTGCCAGACACTGGGTTAGGTTTTAGAGGACACAATGCTGGAAACTGACCTTATACTGAGATACCTAATGCAGTTGAAGGATGAACACCTAATGATTCTCCAGGCAAATACTCCAACTTCCTTAGGTACCATGGTTGCCCAAATCGTTTGGGGACAGGCACTATAATATTATATCATCATTTAGGGCAGATAAAGAATTTGTCTTTCCTAATTTTGGGCACTTGAGTTTTTTTCTAGAATATGCTCACTTTCTTAAATGTTTATTTTTATTAGTGTTTGAGAATTCAAAAAGAATAACAAGAGGAAGAGAGACTAGATGGTTTTTTCCTCCCTAATTAACCTCCCAAGAAATCCTTTTAGCACACAATAAAGCTTCCTAATTCTATTTGCAGATAATCCCCAGAGACAGGAATCTTGCTTCCTGGTAATTCAAAATAAGTTATAGAATGACATTTAACCCAAGACAAAACTCTAAAGAGAAAGTGACCCCCTGCAAGATCTTTAATTACTATTTTATATCTGACCTTATAGTCCTTACATAAGAAAACCCACTGAATTAAAATTAGCCAGCATGACCTGTGGTTGAGTGTTCACCTATGAACCAGGCCACAATTCAGTCCTCAGTCAGCATTCATGCTCAGATTGCAGTGCAAGAGGCAGCTGATCTATGATTCTCTCTCATCATTGATGTTTTTATCTCTCTTCCTCCCTTCCTCTCTGAAATCAATAATAATATTTTTAAACAATAAAATATAAAAATAATTAATTATCACCTACATAATTTGTATCATTGTCTAGTACTTCTCAAGGAGTCCATGTCATAAAACAAGAAAGAAATAGGTTGATGCTTTACCCTGACACAGCCCCTCATGAAAATTTATTATAGATAAAAGAAATTAAATAATAAAAACATATTCTTTCTATTCTATTTCTAAGAGTTTTCATCATTTTCATATCTCATTTACATCAACCTAAGGGTAGAATATGTCTAATAAAATACCACAACATCCTATCTTCTAGCCCTAAATTGATTTCAAGATTATGACTGGCTCATTTTTATAACCTGAGTATCACACAGATTTTATCATTGACTGGAGTCTTAAGGATAATTATAGTAAAGTGATGGTACTTCACTAACATTAGGGCCACAAAATTGGCATATCAAATTATCCTGTCAGTCCAACACTGACATAATGCCCAGTTCTGAAAACCAGGTGTAAGCCTTATTACTAGTATTAAAATCCAATGTTCACTCATCACTTCCCTTTTGATCCTACTTGAGAAGAAACATAGGAAGTTAGGTGTGAATTAAAGTGTGTTTTCTTGCTTTTTCTTAAATTAGTTTTAATTTATATATAATTGATATATAGCATTATATTAGTTTTAGGTATAATTCAATATATATAAATGATCACAATAAGTCTAGTAAGCATCCATCATCATATCTACTTACAAATTATTTTCTTATGATGACAACAATTAACTTAGAAACTTTTAAATATATAAGACAGTGCTATTAACTATAGATGCCATGTTGTACATTATACCAGAAGGACTTACTTATTTTACAACTGAAAGTCTAACTTTTGACCACATCCACCCATTTTGCTCAGTGCCCCAATGCCTTCATTTCTAGTAACCACCAATCTCTTCTCTGTATCTATGAGTTCTTTATGTCTCTCTTTCTCTTTAAGATTCCACAAGTCAGTGAGATCATATGGTATCTT